CCTTTCCCTTATCAAAAAAATATTCCTTTATATCTGCAGTACTTGAATCAGTTTGGAGTGTTAGAGAAAATCTAAATTAACATATTCAACGCGAAATATTCTTTGTAATAACACTTAATAGTCTACGTTATGACTCCTCTTGTTCACACTTTTATAAAAAGTAAACTCTTTCTTCGGAACCTGATGAGAGTTGCCTGATATTGCGCTCCAGTAAGTGTTTGCGAAAACTTTTATGTTCCTCCTTTACTTCAGGCCTCATCATGATTATAAAAGCTTATATTCAATCTTTGACATTCTAACGCTTGGATCCGATAAATCTCTACCTAATTTTGGCATTGAGCTTTTGCTAAATTTATATTTTTCTAGACGAATCTTCACTCCTACAAATCACTCCCCCCTCCCAATAGTTCAGTCCAGCACACCCAAAATAACTTCTTAAGCCCTTATAAATAAACCGCTGATAGAAAACTTTAGCTTTGTCTAAATAAAAATGTCCTCAAACTTCATGTTTAAAAAGTTCTCTTTAGGTGGTCCATACTGTTCAGTAACACCCTGTTTCTTAAGGCTTTGTATTACTTCGCACATTTTCGATTCTTTCGGGCTTTCTTAAAAGAGCTTGTTTACTGGAAAACTTTTAGTTCAGCTTATCGACAACACTTTAGACAATTATTTATAGATGTAAAAATGCCAGCAACTTCTCACACCCTTCAATAATTACTTTTTCTGAAAGATCCTGGGCTCATACTTAGATCCAACTAAGAAGCGTAATTCCAATGTACGCTTTTCTACCAAATTATATCCTAGCTAAACTGCTAACCAGAGATCCAAATATATTCTAGCACACCAGTCGTTATCGGCCGCAATATCTTTTCGCGAGTCGCTTCACTCTCACCCTCATATAAGCCTTCTTCAAACCTTTCTATCACAGATAACCGATTCTTTCTCAGCAATATTCTCACTTTTTTGGTAAATAAGAGGAAACACACGGATTCTTTGATGTTAACTAACCAAAAGTTAAAGTACTGAAGGTCTTCTTCGCCAAGTAGTAACTGAACAACTCTTATTTGTCTATGCATCACTACGTAGATCCTTAACCGCTTTGTCACGTCACATAACTTAAGCAGCTCCCAAATAATTATTACATACTCGTGACTTTCACTGCCAAAAAATACATAAGACGCTTTACAATTAACCATAGATATGTTCTGCTTTCTCACCCGATTCAACGTAGTATAAATTTCAACAGATGCTGACCTAACTCAGGTCTACAATTAAATTCAATGAATCCACCTTAAACTAGATTATTACTTTTTCTATAATTGTCGCCCTAAAGTTTTCCCCTTCATAACTCTCACCTTTTTTAGGGCTGCGCCAATGTCTAGAATAAAACCCATCACAATAAAAACGTTCTACTAGTCTTTGAGTCCAATTAATAGAAAAGTCTGTTTGTCCCGTTAACCTTTCAAAAAGCAGTAAAAATATTATTTTTGAAAAGCTTACAAGATTCCTTCGCTGTGTACCTCTCTAATATTTGAAAACGTTATTAAAATTTCTTTGTATACAAAAATCTTTCACCCTTTCCAAATGGTAAGATACAACGTTGTATAGTGTTCCCAGTTAAGGTGAGCAAAGCTTAGCTCTTTTTTTTAAAATGTTGATATCCCGGTATTAGGTTTCTGAAACTGGTATATTTACGAACTATTAGTAATATAAATAGTAAATTGTATATCATAGACCATAAAATATTATAATATATAGTTATTAAAGAATCAACACGGTTATAATTTATTTAATAAATTTAATGACTGCCGCGGAGGACCAAATACAACCAAAACCAGAAAATAAAGAAACAAAAATGTCGTGCTCGGGTATTTCATGAATATATAATAATTAGCCCTCGAGGGGTAAGGTCATCTATTCAAAAAAAAAACAATTTTCACTTGTAGGCCGCTACACATGGCCAAGAGCTGAGATTTTCTAAATTACTTAACTGGATATTGAGTGGGATGTTGTTCGAAAACATTTTTGTTTAATTTTTAAGGAGTTAAGCTTGGAAGTCGTTATAGATGAGGAGAGGGTGTGAACTCCAGTAAGTTGTGCATTTTCTCAAATTAATAGTTTTCTAACTTATGCAACAGAAGTTTTTTTAAAATAATGGTTTAATTAATTTACTTTTATTTTTTGCTATCGGAGACGTTAAGTTTATTTACCAAGGTGAGCTAATTATTTTAATATTTACGCTATTCAAACTGATAGTATAGCCTTTATTACCATGTCATAACGCCGCGCTTTAAAGGTAATAACAGTTTTTGTCTAAATGTGTTGTAAACCTTTTTCAAGTCTTAAACGTGCTTGGGTTAGTTTTTTTATACAAATCCTTTTCATTTTAGGAGTCACTTTAGAAATTTATGTTCTTTAAAAAACATGTTTATCGAAATTAGATAAAGTCTCGGAGGAAGCAGTGCCATGTAGCGTTATATTAAACAAAGAATATTATAACTTTAAAGGTCAGCTTTATTTTAAATGTTGACGCCGTTATTGGAGTGTTAAATTTAAAAAGGCTAGAGGAGCATCCAAAACTGCTTCGAAATACTAGAAGTAGATAATAGATATAATGCTATATTTTGCTTCATTTTGGTGGCGATAATTTTACAAGGTGGGTTGTTTGAAACATTTTATGCAAGCAAGAAATTGAGCCCGCTCCCTGGTAATGATTTTGTAGATTTGTTCCACTTTTTTGTTGAAATTAAAAAACTGTGCCTAAGTTATTGAGCCTTTCACATATTAACAGCTGAAGGCATGGTTATTGATGTTGGATACTAAAGAAATAAGGGGAAAATAAAGAGTTGTTAGAGCATTTTAGTAACTTTTCTAAATAGGAAATAGTTTGTCCCTTCAAATCTGTGATAGATAATTGTTTAAGCACTACAGTTGAGTCGGAACTTATAAGCTAAGTGGAATTTCTCTTGGACGTCCAAGATTGGATGCTTCTATCGACATTTTTGAAGTCAAAGACAAAGTATTTTTTTATTGATAAAGACTTTTTCTTACGCAAGTATACGTCATAACTCTAATTTATTTTTTGCCAAGAGTCAAGAAGCCTATCCCATATAAAAAATGCTATAGTAAAAATAAAAACTTACTTAAGCAGTTTAGGAATGGCCCATATTAACATTATTCAGGTACGCTGTTCTCAGAGGTCATTATGGACAAAATCTTATTTTTGAACAGAAGAAAGTTGAGAAAAAGAGAGAAAAGAGAGTTCTAAGCACATCTACTTTGAACACTAATGAACTCTGGTATAAGCGGTTAGGAATTCCCAATTTTAGGGCAACTGCCTACTTTTTCATAACAAAGGTGCTCGGCCTAAAAAAAGGAAAAAAAAAATTTCGCTCTAATTCAAAATACTTTTTGAAATTTGTCATAACTTGTACCAACTATTATACATTACCGTGGATGAACAATTGCTTATTTTTTTGTGGAAGATGCCAGATGCCAACAAGCCGGCGGTCAAATATGGCAGTAAAATAGTAATGTTGTGTACCGAAAATTAACACACTTTTATAAAAATAAACCACACAGAAATAGTAATTAAAAGATAAATTAATTAAAAATGTTATAACTAATATTTTTAAAGTAATCGTAAGTTAAACAGTTTGTTATGTGATATGTTCAGCAATATTCAATGTATACATACAATTATGGTATTTATTGTGCAGTCGTTTCTTTTCAACGGAACCAAATTAAACAGTAAAATTAATCTAAACAAAAATACATAAGAAATTCTTTTTTAACCTTTAGTAAAGGTAAATAAACGAATTGATTGCCTATAATAAAATAGCTCTCGTATGGCTCATTTTTTTTTACGTCGTTCGAAAAGAACGAAAAGCCCTTCCTTTAGTGTTTTGCATTTGCCGAGATCCGAGGTCTCGATATGCAAAATTACTTCGGTTTGTCATCTTTCAATTTTTCGGTGGAAGGGCTCAAGAATTCAAATGTAAAAAAAATTGGCCGGTGCCGCCACTGTCAAGATTGCCTTTGTCACCCAAGAAATACTTTCATACGCTAACATTTGACCCAACAAATCGCACAATACAGAATTACCCCCAGACCAACTGAGTGCACCTTTTCCAAGAACACTCAAAATAAAGAAAGCTCTCCCAGAAAGTAATTCAACCAGTTAACAAGAAGAGCTAAGTATCCTCCGCTAACATGAAGCCTAAGTCAAAAGACTATAAACAGTCCTCTGTTAACTGAAATATTTAACAATTAAGTTAGTTTTAAAGTGCCCTACTATAAAAGAGATAAATTTTATACCAAACGAAATAACTGTGGAGATCTTGTAGAAGGCCTTTACTACCTTTAAACTTATAAGTTTACAGTGCTCTATTCATTAATTAGTTACTTTATATTTTTTTTTAAAACTCTTCCTCATTGCTAGGCTATAAAATTTTTTATCCTTTACAACTATTCCATTCGATTGTAACAACGATTTTCGGAAGTTTGTAACTTAAAATGTGAGATTTCCTCTTTTCTCAGTAAAGTCTGTTCACCGATTAGTTTTTTCCTCGAATAAACGAATATAAGTAAACTATTGAAGCTTTTTTAGGGATGCAAAAAATACCCTTTGCTAGCAATAGATATGAAGATTTGATATTAAGAAGGTAAAAAGGTATTTCAATTAGTATAAATAAATTTTTATAGAGATAGCATTTCATTACTAACTTCACTACCTCTTAAGCTTTACGGAATCAAAAGGCGTATAACTATTTAGACAGGAATAAGTAAATTAAAAAAGATTACGATATAAATATATGATCCTCCCTTTTATATAAATTGTTAATAAGCGAGCAGTGCTAAGAAATTTTGTAAAAATAATCAAAACAACCCTGAAAACAAAAAGTAAAGCTAATCACCTGGAGGGACTAGCCTATGGTTGAAACTGAGAAGTAAGCTCAGCAATTTTGAAGCCCACAAAAAGGAAGTCCAAAACTCCTCCCTGCCTCCACGGAGAGTCGAACTCCGGACCTTTGGTTTACTAGACCAACGCTCTGCCAACTGAGCCATAGAGGCACTCACGCCTGGAGGCTCATCAATTTATAATTGTTCTTCCATAATTGTTTTAGCGCTTAGTCAACTTTACTATTGTTACAGTCTGAAACTCTTTTATTACAAGTACACTGTTTTGTTTTGCTTTTAATATGTAGACTAAAATAAATTTATGTTAAATCTTTTTTCTGATTTACAGATTTAACTCTGTTAAATGCTAATTTTACCTATATTAAGAAATTTTTTTTTAAGATTTCCTTATATTTGTAATAAGTTTGTTAGATTTTGATTGTGTGAACATTTTGAAATGGTGTGTGGAAATATAATTGCTGGTCTTTTAGATTTGGGATTAAATATCAATTTAATTTCTGTTTTTCTTAACTATATGTAAGAAAAGAGCGGACAACTAAAAGTGTAAAACGTCATAGAGAGAGCAATCTAAAGCCTAAAAAACCGCGGAATAAGCAATGCTATAAAAGATAAATTTAAATTTTGTTATACAAAAAAATTAATATTATAATAGAAGCCGCGGTAATAATTGTGAACTTGCTTGAAAGATACGTACAAACGCTTAACTTTTTTCAGGGTTGTAGGAAAAGTAAAAATAAAAAATGCTTTGCAATTTCGCAGAACGCCTTTCATTTAAGACCTTTTATGATGGTCGTTTTTTATTATTATAATTTGTAATTTAAGCAAAAAGCATTAACTTAAGCGGATCCGAATTGCCAACCTAAATGAATAAAATAATATATTACATTCTTTTAGGATCAATATATACTAGACTACCAAAGAAAGTAAAAAGCACTAAGGCGAGCGGAATTAAGAAATAATAGCCGTAGTGCCATATTAAATCCTGATTTAAAATTAAAGTGGGTTTAATTTCCAAGATGACTTTAATATGCATACTGATGCAGGAATATATAATAAAGATACATATATTAAAGGCAACTTTATTCCCGATCTTGCTTTATGTGAGCTGTTAGAAAGAATGTTAACGTAAAAACAGAAAATTATTCCCTTATAAATAGGGTAGTTGTGAAATTAATCTAAAGGAAACGTTGCGCATGGCTTCTAAAATTCTGTAAAAAAACCAACTTAAGTGTGAGGTTCTCGGTGACCATTTACTATAACGATGGGCGGTGAACTTGAGTAATTCGAAAAACAGATAAATTATATGTTTAAGAAGCATCGCTTTTTATAAGCTCAATTATTCAAGACTTTGTCCAATCTTAGGTTCCTACCAATTTTAAGAGTAGTGGTTTTCAACTGAGGTTTATCGAGTAATATTTCAACACCTCCTGCGACTCTCCGCAGCACAACGCACCCCTCAAAACAGAGCTGAACTCAGGAAGGTACCATACTGACCATGTATTGATTGGGTAAGTAATTACATGATCATGTACACAAAGGTGTATACGTCCATGCAGCTACCATAGCCTTAGATCAGGGTAACATGACCCGAGACAGGTATTAATGCATGCGCGTGCATTCCACCTCCAGATGGCAACTTTTGAGCACCCTAGATCGAAACCACAGTTTCCCGCGAGGAATAACGCAAAGCCTGGACGCGTGTGTTATATATAGGCACAATCTTTTTCGTGCGCTTTTACGACGATGAACCTGGTGACAGAACAGTAATCTCCTTAACTCCATGAAGAATGTACAGTCTAGTACGAAGGATCAAAAGGTTAGGTCAAACAGTCAGAGCCAAGACAAATCGCTCGATAAAGCCTACTCATTAAGTAGTCGCCCTACACAGATACCAAGATGATCCAGCTATAATAAATCAAGGACTTACCTTCTGTGATCAAAGCACTAGAAACGTTGCCTACGCGTATACCGCACAAAAATCAAAGATGTTAAAATAGAGATAATGCGAGCACAGAACACGCGAAAGCAACTGGACAAGAGAACGAGTCTCTTATCTCTTATACGAGGTTTTCAATCTCTTAATTATAAAAAAAGATCCGTAAAAGGTCGAAATAGTGCCTTTACCCATGAAAATAAAGTAGACAAGATTCAAAAGTGACTATGGGTAAAACACTAAAATATAAAATTAAAATAATAAAATATATTAAAAATAAAATATAAATCTCTTAGAAGTAGCTATAAATTTAGGCACTTTCTATACAAAGAGAAGGCTGCCTCAATGAACTTAAATGAGGTTAGAGATCACTGCTCAGACCTATTAACCAATTGTGAATGCTTCCAAATAAGCATTAGATTACTACGCGATGACCTAAAGAAGTTAGGCATTTGATTACTAAAAGTGGTACCAGAGTTTAGGTTACAACGTTGGTAAAAATTTAGTATACTAAGATTACTTCCTAGTTCAAAAGATCATGACTTAGTTCTACAGGTTTGTATGTTTCACTTTGGTTTTTCAATCCTAACCCAGGGGGCTAAAAGCTATTGCAGAGATGTTTAGAAATATTGCTTACTAATGTATGAGGCTTATTTGAAACTTAGAGCTTCGGTGTTCTTGCTCATAACGAGATAGAAAGCTTTACTTAAAGACCTTAGCTACAAAGTCTATTAGCCACCTAAGGGAGTAGGAAAGTTCAGAATTGAAGTGCTTGTCCCCTAGAGAGCTATGCTTAAGAATGGAATGGAACCATTGACCTTACTGTAAAGAAGTAAGGTTATACTACTTAACTACTTAAGCAATTTACTAATAAAGTTCTACTTTAGTAGAACAAAATTAACTAACATGTTAAAAATGCTAATTAACTTGTCCTACCAAAGTAGAACGGAAAAAAAGCGAGTAAATTTATGTTTTCCCTCTTTTACGGTCCTAGTTAACACGAAGTAGTTCACTAGGACTTGGCTCGAGTAGGAAACATTAGTTTTGCTTAACTTGCGGATAATAAGTTTTCGCTAAATTAGCGTTCAAAAGTGTCCTTGCCGAGAATGAATTATTTGAGATATAAAGATGTGCTGCAATAAAAGATAAAAAAAATATTAGAAAACCATAAGTTTTCAAGATATGATTAAGTTACTGCTATTGTTAATCCCCAAAAACACTGTAAAACATATAATTTAAAAGCCATAGTGCTCGCTCTACTTTAGTTACAAAAATTACAACGCTTCCTATAAACACCAAACATATTTTAAGCAGGGCTTTTACTTTATAGTTATTAGTGTAAAATTAGTCTGCAGATTCTATGATGACTTAAAGATAAAGGCAAACAGCAGTTTAACCTTCAACTAACAAGACAAATCTCATGCGGTCCGAAAGTTTTATTTATACGACCTAAACTAAGTGGGAGTAGTTAAAAAAGTTTAAGTTGGTATTCTTTTATTAACTTGAAAAAATCTATTTTTATTATATATTATATAAAGCTTTTTTACTATTTTTACCTTAATAAAATATAATTAATATAAAATTCTTAGTAACGCAGATTCAATTGTTATAAAGGTAAAAAAAGAAGAGGAAATAAAGCCAAAACGCCCTGCTCCTAAAAAGGTAACTACTCCTTATAAACCATAGAACTGATTTTTGTACATAGCATTTGGAAATTCTGGTATAACAGTTAAGTATACGGTATAATAACGATTTTAATATGGCATAACCCTACAAGATAATTATATAAAATTAATTATATCAAGTTATAGGTGGGATTTTAAGGCCTGTTAAACTTAAATTTAACATGGATTTTTAAAAAGCTTTACTGTTTTTAACAGTTTTGATATTTAAAAACTTTTACAAAAGTGTAACTGGGCAATGCTGTTGTTATAAATGACCATGAGGGCTGTACCATTTATCTGCACCTATACAGCTGTGGCTTACTACTGAAACTTATCAACATGGCTATGGCACAAGGCGAAGAAGTAGAAGTTGAGGAAGAGGACTTAGGACCAATTTCTATCAGTAAGCTAGAGGTAAATTATATAATAGTTACTATCATAAATGAGCTTATTTCTGTTAGTTTATCTAACAATTTTTTCAAGAGTCATGGTATATCCACGTCTGACATTAAGAAACTGACCGATGCAGGCTACCATACTGTCGAATCCGTTGCTTACTGTCCGAAAAAGACGCTTTGTATGGTGAAAGGAATAAGCGAGACCAAAGCAGAAAAAATCTTATTAGAGAGCAGTAAACTTGTGCCTATGGGCTTTACTACGGCCACTGAGTTCCATCAGCGGCGTTCAGAGCTCATTCAAATAAGTACTGGTTCCAAGGAACTCGATAGTTTGTTAAAAGGTGGGATTGAAACAGGTTCCATCACTGAAGTATTTGGAGAATTTCGGACGGGAAAGACTCAACTTTGTCACACTTTGGCTGTTACCTGCCAGGTATTATAAATTCTGTTTTCAGTGTTTCACAGCCTTGTCTATTTTCGATTCGTATCTTTATAGCTGCCCATTGATAACGGAGGTGGTGAAGGGAAATGTATCTATATCGACACAGAAGGCACTTTTCGTCCTGAGCGTTTGCTTGCCGTGGCTGAAAGGTAGTTGCATTTTGACACTGATCCACTTTTATGAATGAAAACTAACGATTGTTAGATACAAATTATCTGGGCAGGACGTTCTAGACAACGTCGCCTACGCTAGGGCTTATAATACTGACCACCAAATGGCGTTACTCCTATCCGCGTCAGCCATGATGGCAGAGTCGAGGTGATTTTATACACAGACTAACAACAATATAAACTTTCAAGTAGCTTAACCCTTCACTAGGTACGCACTATTAATAATTGACAGCGCCACGGCCCTGTACAGAACAGATTACTCTGGCCGCGGAGAGCTCTCTGCACGACAAATGCATATGGCTCGTTTTCTTCGTTTTCTTCTGAGACTAGCAGACGAGGTGAAATCTTGCAAGTGTAGTTCAAGGCGGATTCTTTACTCGCGCTAACATTTATTTGTAAACTACCAAGTTTGGCGTCGCTGTAGTTATAACCAATCAAGTTGTTGCGCAAGTTGACGGTAATCCCTTTTCTTTGGATCCCAAAAAGCCAGTGGGCGGAAACATAATGGCCCATTCTTCCACGACGCGGCTGTACCTCCGAAAAGGGAAAGGCGAAAACAGAATTTGCAAGATATACGACTCGCCTTGCCTACCAGAAGCTGAAGCCATCTTTTCTATCGGCGCGGAGGGGATTGCCGATTCGAAAGATTGACCATAGATTAGTTATAAAAAAATCCCTTAAAATTTTCGAGAGTTAGTAAAGTTTATTTGTTGAGTAAACCCGTTTATTCCACTTTTCAGTAAAAAAGTATTCATTTCTTAGCTTAGAAATTCTTGCTAACATCTTTGGTTATCGTTTAGTTATAATGTCTTCCGGTGCGGATTTTATATAAAAAACCCTATTATTTTGCATAAATAAAAATTTTATTAGAAATGTTAGCTAAGAAACTTTACCTTTTTACTTTCTCTTGTAATTTCGTCTGCCTTGAGGAGCATATTTAAATATTTTATGCACAGAGATCTCTGTAAGTTTGCTTGCTGCGCAATTTCGTGTTGGTATCTATTAGTGACGGAAGTGTATAAAAATTTTGAAGCGAATTTTTATTGCTTATATTTAAATTGAGTTAAGCAAGCTAGTAGTGCCATAAAATGGGTAACATTGTTAAGAAATTTTAGAGCGATATACATATATTGGTGGAAACAACTATTTACAATCCTGTAGGAGAGTCGTTAAGTATTGTTAGTATGTTTGAGAGATCCGTAAAGGTTGGATCCTTCTGAAAACTGGCGGGACACTTTTGCAATATCTTTTTAGCATCAAAAGTACACTGTGGAAATTATTACATCACCAACTGCAGCACGAAATAAAAAAACAGCCAACTTTTTTTTTAGACGGTTTTTTAAGCGATTTCTTACTATTTTGGTTGTTGTCATCTGTTAAATATTTTAAAGTACTTTAATACTTTTGATCAAGGGGTAAAGTTTTGTTAAACCAATCAAATCTAAAGTTTTTAGGTTAAATTACAATCCGCTGAAATGACTGTCTCAGCTACGGTATTAACAGAAGATTGAAGCCTTTGCTCTAACTCCGCTGAAGCGACAATTTCACTTCCTTTCTTTTTAAATAAAAATAAATAAAAAAGTTGATCAAACATAAGCGTAATTAAAAAGCATAACGATTGTTAAAGACCTCATGAGAAAACGAAAAAAAGTAATTTGAAAGTATTTTAAAGCTTATAAAGTTTCTTTTAACTAAAGAAAAAACTTTTTATTAGATAGAGATGAACAAGAAAAGTTAATAAGTCTAGATTTTATAAATTCAGTAAGTGTTCTTAAGATTTGCTTTAAGCAAAATATTTGAGCGTTTTTATCTTACAAAAAATGCAAGTATATGGTTAAATACCTTTGGTAAATTCTTAAAGTTTAAGGAAGCTGCTGTCAATTTAAAGGCGGTCATAAAATCACCAAAAGAGGCATTAAAATTAACTATGTCATTATTGATAGAAATAAGCAGCTTATAATTTTTTTCAAACTGTTCAAAAGCTTCACTTAATGCTGCAAAATGATCTTCAAAAGTGTTGAACATTACCACTAATTTTGGTTTAAAAAGGAACTTTAAAAATATACACCCCCTCCTACAGGCCTCTTGGGCATAAAAATTTTTTGCTTGAGGTCTATTAATTTATACTTGCAGGAAACGAAGCCCGTGGATGCCTTAATGAGGATTAGCAAGTTAAGTGATAAACTAGAGGAAGTTTGCTTTTTAGCTTCCCATTACATTTTTAGGTATTATATATAATAAATGAAGGGTTACTGCTACTGTCTACTATAAGTTACACGCGTGTAATAGAGGCTAGACCCGGGTTTGACTTTTTTTAAGAATTTTATTTCAAATATATTGGTAAAATGACTACTTTTTATATAATGCCACTAAGTTATATATATATATACTATCATATGGCAAAAATTTAGACACCATAGAAAAATAGTAATCAACAGACTTCCCAAGGCTGCGTCATAAATAGAGTGTTAAAAAAGTTTGCATTTTTAGACTGCGCGAGTAAATATAAGCTCTATACATACCAGTTTTCATTTTTATAAACGTTTCAAAGTACATATAAAGTTATCTTAGATATTTCTTTATAAAATTTTTATAGTTATCAAAGTTATCAAACATGATACCGCAGCGAGAAGTAATCCGCAATGTCATTTTTTAATTTTATTAGAAAAATCTACATTAACAACTTTAATTTAACATTCAATCCTTTATTATATTTTACTAAATTATCTCTTCAAAAACAGTTGTTATATATCCGCACTGCCAGATCCGTAGCACAGCGCGGTGTAAAGGGTCCTGCCCTTTTCAAGCATTGGTATTCCACTGGATATCTTTTAGGGCTCAAGCAATATTCTTTGCTTATATGAAGATACGCAATAGTTCTAAAATTCTTATACCAAATTTTATAAATGTTATAAGCCTGTGTTTATGCAATTCTTACACAACGGCATTAACTCGTCCTGTTCTTTTTCCTTTTTCATCGGTGTTGGATCAATCCAAAGACGACCTCCTCGGCCGACCCTCCGCCTTCCGCCACAGACAAAAGTGGTGGTCTCCTTTATAATATTAATATTAATAACAAAATTTATGTCCTGCAATAATATTTACGCCGTAGAAGGCGGGAACGCTCAAAAAAGTAAACTTGGCAGCATGTGGATCTTCGGTAAGGGGTTTACCCAAGCCGCGGCCCTGCAGGGAAATGAATAATAATAACTATTATAACAATAACAACGTAAAAATAAGAATAAACATACGCCACAGTAGCCAATATGCTTCTTCTTCGAGCTAAAAGGGAACGGGTTATATCCTTGAGTAACCCCCTTGCTGTAGACACGTGCAAGGTCAAGCTGAGCTCCGCCAATAGTGGTGACTGTTGTGGACGCTAGGCCATCGTTTGCTTTAGCTGTTCAAATAAACATAAAAAAGCGTGAAAAGTTTTGTAAAAGAAGTCAAACGGCTAGCGCCAGGCTCTGCCCCTTCTTTTTCCTGCTTTTCTACTGGTCCTCTGTCTTCTGCTTCTTTTAAGGCTACTTGTGATAAAAAGCAATGACAAGAAAAAGCAAACCAACCCAATAAGCGAACAACTACCTTCAGAAGGGCCACTTCTGGGCTGACTAGGTTTCTTTTTATACTTTTCAGAATTTTTTTTCAGAGACCGGCTCCTGTACACTTGAATATGTTAAATTCATATATAATCGGGGAAAAAGAATAAACCTGTGGGAACTGAAAAACTTATTAATTTTTTTAGAGGCCTTTTACAAAGAAAATTGGTTTTCTTCAAATAATAAAGACAAGACGAAAAAACCTGCTCTTCGTCGTACTCACTTTTTTTCTTCGGTTCATCTTTTTCTTTTATAAATTCCCTAAAGGTCCAGTCATTAGCTGACAGGCGCGCCTCAAAGATCTCAATGAAACGAAGAGTTACAATACGTTTTCCAAAAGAAACGTATATTAAAAAACCTCCAGAGCCAAGTGGATTCTTTCTCTTTTTAACTTTTCGCGTTTCTTCACCATTTCCAGGAGAGTGCGCAGTTTTTCAAAATCTCTTTTCAGCTTCACCATGCGTTCGTAGGAATGCTCTTCAACTTTCCGGTGCTAGTGGAGAATAACGGACATTTTCTAGCGAGTAAAATACAGCGACCACTCACTTTTCTTGTCAGGATTTTATCAGCACGCCGTCTGAAGGCAACGTATGGATTGGAGACGCTTGCCGGATCATTGCTCTTGTCCGTCTTCACAACGGGTCGCAGAGGCAGCCCCTGGTTCCTTGCTCGTTTGCCTGACAGCAAGAAATTTGGAAAATGGAAAATATTTACTTTATAAAAGTACTTTTCCAATACTCATAAACTTCCATGGCGGCGGAGTCATCCATTTTTAAAAGGTCACGCACTTGATGGAAGGACGGTAGCGCTTTCTTTAAACGGCATTACTTTTTCTATTAACACATAACCCAACCAGAGATAAACCTGGCCAGGCGCCGCACATTCTAAGCGGTCGATCATTGTTTCGAAGGAGTGGCAAGATATGCGATCCCCGTGGATCCTAATATAAAACCAATAAGATACGTTTGCATAGAAGACACAAGCAAGTAGGCTGTGCCTGTAATCCCTTCGAGCTAGCCACGCATCATCTTCAGAATCAGCGTCGTAGTCGACGAATTCGACTGACTGCGGAAGATCTTGGGGATAAGAATTATCTACAAACCGGAAAGCAGTGATAACATGATGTTTTATAACCCTTAATACGGATATAAGGGCCCGGAAGCATAAAGTCTTTCTGGTAAATTTCATCGTAGTAATCGACTTTCTCGCCGGCAGTAGGCGTGGGAATGACTAAAACGTTTTAATATATATGCCTGCAAGGAAAGAAACATACATCGTGATCTACCTGAAGTCGTAGAAGCGAGCCCCCCATCTTGGCGGAGTATAATTTTCAAATGATGTTCCTCCTCCTCTTCCTTCTCCATTCCTAATGGTAATTGAATTTTACATGTGTTGGAGCACAATCTAGCGTAGTAGACCTGTTGCCATTCGTGGCAAAGCCCTTTGTACATACGTATTCATGTCAATTCCAGGGATCTTTCCCACCCCAAAAACAGGTGAAACACGTGTTAGGAAAGTAACAAAAGGTATTTAACGGTAACATATGGCAAAAAAAAAGAGTAGGGGCTCCAAACTAGGAGTTTTACCCCTTTATTAGAGAGGCAAACAATAAACGTAACAAACATTTATAAATTTTTTTAAAGCTATTCAAGTATTATATTTACTTACATCTTCTGCCAGAAGAATAGGTAATGGCTTCGAGTGTTCAAGTTGCCTTGCTCGAAAGTTAAGGCCAGACATAATGAGACACTGAGGTCGCACGTGTTTAAGGCTTACAAGAGAGTCTCAAATTAATATCTATGTACAACTATTGAAATATGAATGTTACCATTTAATTATTTTATATTAAGCGAGTTAGCGTTACTATAAACCATAAGTCAAAAAAAGTTAAGTATTAGAAGTAAGTATATACTAAGTTAATTTTATAGTACAGCCCAGGAGGCTCTCACCTAAAAACTTTGAGGGATACGTTGGAGCTATTCATTGGGGTAACAAAATTTCCGTCTCTACCAAAAAAGAGTCCGTTTCCCACATTTGTGTAACTGTACCTCTAAAAAACCTGCTAATGTAGATATATAAAAAACTTACTATCAGAAGGGATAATAAGTAATTTAGGTTATTATATGAAAACTAAGTGAACACAATTACATTTAATTTACTTTTTTTTAATTTTCTTTAATAAGCGCAGAAAGGTAAATATCAGCTGCTAAATTATTAAGTTAAATAGCAATTATTTTTTTTAGTATGTAATTATGCACTAAAAAAGATAAAAGTTATATTATTTTTATTTAAGGAGCTTATATTTAAAACTTATGTAACTTAGTTTTGTAATTAAAATTAAAAGTATACTAGGCTTAATAAAATGCACCAAAATCTATTAGAGCTTTAAGAATAGTAAATATGTAACAATTTATTTTTAAACTGTCTCTAAAGCTTCAGGCTAGCCAGTTTTTAACTCTTACAATAGTTATTAATTCAGAGAAAACGGTTAAAGCTACAAGGAAGGGTAAAAAATGTAAAAAAAATTGCCAAAAAAGCACACCTAGTCACGATAGGGTTACTGGAAGTTAAATTTTCACCCTAATTTTCGCATCACCCACGCACGCTTACTAAGAGTATAATTACATTTTAGATAATTTTAAGATATCAGAAATTATAGTTTTACATAAAAAGTACGAAAACTTTAAGGTAATATATGAATTATTTATCTTGCCCAGAGTTTTTTAAATAAGCGAATAAATTTATTGTCTACCGAGTGTTAAACCTAGCTGCAATCATTAACAATTTATAGTTATACCTTAACTATTGGTCGGGAGGTAAAACTAATATACTTTACTAATTTTAAAAAATACATACCGACAAATATTCTAGATAACGAAAAATTTTCTAATTAACAGTGTCTTTGTTTAAAATGCATTATTGCCACTAATTGGTAAAAGATTTTTTGAAAATTGGGTTCCAGTCGCTAAAAAAAGAATGAACAAAAAGCAAAACTAAACCTTCACGTCAATGTATTCTTAGCTGTAATCTATCCCGTAGGTAAAGAAATAAGTTTATCGCTACAAGTGACCCCTTATACTAAGAAGTGACTAGTGTTTAACTCTCCCCTAAAGCACTCAGTAAGCACTTATCAGACATCAACAACTTTTTAAACTTGCTACAAGGGCTGCAAAACGTAAAACTCGCCACTTCGTGCAGAGCTTTCTTAAAGGATTAAAACATAAAGGTTGTATGCAGTTAAAAAAAATTTTTTTTTTCTAAACAGCAAAGTTTTGTCATTAACTAAGAATAATAAATATTCTGTGCAGTCGCTTCCATAACGCGGAGTAATGATACTTTCTACTCACCTCGAAACTTCTATTTAACTTAAGGCCACACGAAATATTAGCCTAAACGGTTGCACATACTATAATAGTATTTTGTACATATAAAGCTAATTTTTTTGGTATTTCTTACATAAATTAATTAATAATAAGCTCTGGAGGATTGAACTGTTTAATAAAACTATGAATATTTGATATCACAACACTAAAAAACTAAAGTTCAATTTTTTTTTTCAAACTGTTTTTACATTTTCGCTGTCTTTTTATTACTACCGTGATTACAATTTATGATTTTTGTTAGGTGTAAGTTAATGGATCAATGCTAAAACGCTTTAATATATAGTGATTAGTAAATCTATTACTAATAGTGGCTGACTTGCTTTTTTGGAGAAGTCCACACAAGTCGATAAAATGTGTAAAGGGATATAAGAGTAAAGAGTTAAGTGTGCATAAAGCTTACCATTAAAGTATTATCTATAATTAGCAAGTGTAGAGGAGTATATATAAATATAAAATACGCACACGAACACAAATAAGATAAAAAAAAACGAAGAAGGAAAAAACGAAGAAAAAGAGTGGAGAGTTTTAGCCAGGCAGTTTATTCGGCCTCTGTGGAGGAAAGTGCAACCACTGCCAGCTTCTTTGTTCCCAAACAGTTGGAAAGGCGTTCACAGTTATCAGTGTAGCAAAACGGGACTTGCAATCTTCCTCAGAGTCATAATTTGAGTCCGAGTAAACGAATAATATCAAGTTTGCCCTTCCTTGAAGAGCTTAAATGATGGTGGCTGGTGTCTTTAAGACACCTTAAACGCATTTAGATGACTCCCGATGTTCTTTTCCAAATGAACTAAGGCGCTGTGATAACTTATTTACCACCAACTGCATGTTTGGCGTACTGTGTTTTGTTTTACAGGCATGAGAGCTATGGAAAAATGACATCCAACTCTAGAAGGAGAATACTGCTGAGTCCTACTGTAAATAGTTGTAGGGGATGTGCACGTATATATGACTTTTCGACCAAAAGGGTTATAAAAATTTAGAAGCTTTAAAATAACTGAAAACAGCTCTGCGGCTAACCACCCTGCTCCCGATAGATCTCTGGATTCTTATTGTCAACTTAACCCAAGTACTTCCGATATTATAGTGGGGAAACCTACCGCCTTGGTGGAATGACCTTATAAAGATGGCAAGAACCATCTTTTATTTGAAGCATCTCCAGTCTTGACTGCCACTAGAAATACAAATGGTTTGTTTCTACCTGGACGAGGCCAGAGCATTACGATCTATACATGAATAGCATGATATAAGAAGACAAACTAAGGGAATCCTTTAATAAATAAGGCATCAATATAAAAATGGAGAAACTCTCCTTTATCTCGTGTGCAGAATTGGACCTGCATCGTAAGCCTATGCAAAGAATAATAATCATACTTTATGACGGGCTCCCAGCCGGGTTTCATATGAACATCGATGTATATGGCCGGTGGCTAAAGTCACTAGGCGGGGCAGTGCACAGCCTTCCGTAGTATGCAAAGGTACTAAATTTATCTGGGTTATACCGGCTGTATCAAAATCTTCTGTGGCCCTGGCGTTTAGCAAATTTCTAATTGAAAACTTTAATTACGGCTCGGTTGTTAAGAATGTACATTCAGATAACGAACCGATTTTACTAATAAGGCTTTTCGAGAAAAAATTTTCAAAGTAGCATAAAACAATCATTTAAGTCTCTAGGGACACCTTCAAATAACTCAATTGTACAACGGTAAAATGGAATTTTAAAGGAAGGGCTAAGCCATGATTCACAGAGCTAAATTATCGGACGCTTTTTGGGCTGAAGCTCTTAACCATGCAGTGTTTGTTACGAACATATATTCTGGAAGTTAGGAGAAAAAAATTACATGAACCATACAGAAGATGGACTCTCCACATGCGTGGCTGTTAACCTCTTAAAAAATATAGAGGAATATATATATAAATATAAAATATGCACACGAACCAAGAAAAAAAAACTCTCGACACAGATTTTTCGACTCAGAGCTCATATCAGGTAGGTACCAAAATCACGTTTCGTCAGCTTATAGCATAGCAAAGTCAAGGCTATTTAGGCTATCAATTTAGTATGTTACTAGTGTTTTTAATGAGTCCACGCTTCAAATCGTAAGCTAGCCAAGATTTTTGCAAGCCAGAGAGCATAATGGATTTTCATCTCAACCCCCAAGGAATAGTAGAGGGTGACACGACCCGATACGAGTTATGCCTGCTTGCGTATGTCCTTTCGTCTACTGGTGGAACCCAACTAGCTACTTTAGATCGAAAACGCATGTAACCACAAAAACTAATGCGCCTGTAAACCTAATTTTTTATATAGGGCCTATCTTTTTAGGTCTCTTTACGACAATGTCCCCTGGGGACGGAGCAAGAATCCTTACGAACTTGAAGAATGTACTACCTATCACGAAGTCTCGAAAGCTTTGAACCAACAGTCTGAGGCATCAAAAAGCGCCTGGTGTTACCAATTAATAACCCAATCTGAGCCGCTGACATTCGAATGTATCTATAAAAGATCGCTAACGGTACCTCGCGATGATCAAAGCGACAGGTAGGATGCGTCATAATTTAGCTGAGCAGGAGAGAAAGTGCGCATCGAGAAAGCGTTACTGAGCTTTTTTCTCTCTTATACGAGGTTTTCAGAAGCTTAATTATGCAAAAATACCTCTTTTCTGACTAAAACGGTACTAATAACCTAACCTGTCAAGAAGTATAACATATTCACGCCTCTTTTAAAAGTGTACAAAACTACCGCGAGACTCTCAAGATATGAACCATTAGCACAGCCACACACTATAGGTAGCACCTGCGCAGTTGCTAATCGATTCCAACAAATTTGCTACGATCGCAGCGAAAGTTAAGGATTAGTCCGCGTCTCCGCACAAAATGCAAGAACGCAGGGAGTGTAAAAACAAGCACCGGAAATTCCATTGCTTTATTAAGGTCTTTTGCCAAGCTTAATTATTATGGGTACGAGCGCTGTTTTAATAAATAAACAAAAATATAAAAAGTTATATGGATTATCTAAAATAACCCTTTCGAGGCCTAAACAGAGTCTATAACTAGAGTTGTTAATTATTCATTAGAGCTATTATCCAGTAATAGATTCAAAACTAGTTTACCACTACTGCATCATTTATGAAAATCAAGCACTCTTTAGTCCTTACAGCTAGTCAGTGCAGTACTCATAGTAACCTTTCCCTGATGATACTTTTTTGTAAGAAACTCTAGCATAATACTAGTAGACAATACTTAATCTAAATCAGTTTAAAGCTAGTGAGACGTCATTTGTGATCAATGCCAATGAAGTTTATTCATTTGTACTAGGTAACATCACCTTATTAAATTTATAGTTTTTCCATTTTCCAAGGTAAAGCACTCAAATTCATTTGATACTTTATAAAGGGGTGGCTCAAGTGTCCTATTAAGAGACTAATGCCACCATTCATAGAACTACCTACACAGCTGCAGCCTAAAAGTTTAATCATGACTTAATAGCCCAGTTAGCAGTGATCTCAGTCAATGTAACTGATTGCTAAGTGAGCTGTAAAGGCTAAATTTAAATAGAAAAAGCTAAAATAGCTACTTTTCATTTTCTTGAATTTTATTTATTTTGAAATTTTATTTGATTTTATCTTATTTCATTTCATTTCATATGAGCCATTTATAAGACAGCTAATAAGAGAGCGCTATTAACTCTGATCCCCCTAATCCCTAACAAGGTAATCAGGAACTGAGGTGTTTTCAATTTCACTGTCAGAGGGCCACTTCCTGTCCAATGACAGAGGTAACTCACCTAAATTAGTAACTTATCAAGTCTTGTCAAGGCTAACCGATAGCCACAAGATTCTTTCTTATTTGAGAAAGCCCAAGGCACAATGTAACCATAACATCGCATGTTAATATCAAAGGCAAGACACAGATTTCTAACCTATTTGTTAAATGATTTCAAGATTAGCAACTATATTAATTTATTGTTTATTTTACTTTAAGGCTGTCCAAGGTAAATTTAGTAAATAGTTGTAATGCTATTTGATAAAACCGTGCACTAGTTGTGCAAGAATTGTACTCTAGCTGTATTATAATTGTATCCTGGATGAGAAGTAAGCACTATTTTAGTAGCCAAATGAGGAATAATTCGCAAGTTAGCAGTTTAGATAGCACGCGCAAGCGTAGTTACCAATAAACTAACTTATGAGTGTTGCTTAAAAATTGCTCTATAATGTCACTTCAACATACCACCTTATCCTCTGATAATAAATAAAAACAGGTTGCTTAAAAAGGTAGTAGTTTAGTTAGTTAACTCAGGTGTTATATTACTTAGTATCCTAGATTTTGCCAGTAAATGAAATTCCTTGTTTTAGTAATACTACCTTAAATTACAAATTAACTGTTTCTCAATCAATAGCGTCGCTTGCTGTTAGTTATCTAAACTTAGCAAGTCCTGATAATAATTTTTTGTGGTTAATTTTTAAGTTCTCAACATTAGTTATACTATAGTATTTAACTTATCAAAAGTTTGTATAACGGTTTTTTAAAGTACAGTTAAGAGTTTAGGTACTTACCTCTGTAAAAATAGAGCAGAACATAGCTTGGTCTACTAGATCTAAATTGCAAGTCTTATTCCCCGCCAACTTTTTAACACTAAAAAAATATAATAGTCGCAAGTGTGACAACTATACTTTATATCTTGTTATTTATGTGACATAAGACTTATATGCTGCAAAGCGTGATATTGTACTTGGTTTAACAAACTTAGCGAACCCCCTGCCCTTAAACTTTGTTTAACAACTTATTACACAATCATAGCTGCATGGGTAAATATCTTATTAAGTAGTGATATAATTTAGTGTTGTCGCTGGAAAAGAGCGGTGAAAACTCTTAAAAATTATGTGGCAAAGTCTTAATAATTTCGCTAAAATGATAGAACGGGTTGTTCTTCCCGTACTTTTGCCTACTGGTGCTGTTTATAAAATAATACAGTTCATTTTAATGAAAATTACAGGCATTATAATATCGTATGTACATTTCTCTATAGGACACTAAATTTAACTTATATATAGCGATTTATTTTATCAACATGAGATATCATAAAATATTTAATTTTCTTTGCTTTCGTCACGTAGCATTGCAAGCAAGTTCCGGTTGGTAGTGTGATTGCGTTATCATTTATTAAGGCCTCTTACTGCAGATTCGCAACACTGCGTTACACTATAAACATTTTATCTTTTAACTGAACGAAATCGGTTTTGACCTACATATACATTGTTACTAGTCGCCCGCCTAATGGGACCTTTCGGTTGCATAAACCCGAAATAGCTACAAGTTAGAATTGACAGATGGTTCAGAAGGGCTGCTCTTTTAATATCAGGAAAACGGAAGCTTTTTATTATCAAGAGTTTTATAGGAATTCAGCAAGTCAACTTAGGGCTTCATAAGCTGACTTGAATGTTGGGCCTTTTAACTTACTACCAACAGAATTCTTCGACCTTAAAAATTATTTTAAAGAACATAAAAGGAGGATGGTTTGACTTTTATAATTAAACCATAAAAACCAGGCTGGGGCTAGCCTTGATTATTAAACTACTTTCTTATAGGTTAACTTACTTTATTATATCTTTAATGGCTTAAATTTTGCCAACTGATTAACAGTAGTATATAATAACCCTAACCCTTTTTAAAAAAAATTTGTGTAATTAAACTATAAACATACTATAATAAAAGTTTAAATATTAGTTCATTATAATTATCTTTTTAAAGTTTCTTACTAATAGTTATTAGATTTAAAAAGATGTTAGAATTAATTAGGACAACCCTTAAAAGAAAGACTAGGGAGACATTTTGTCCTAACAAGGGCATAGATACCAATGATAAAGCGCAAAAGCTGTTTTAAAGGTGACGACCAAATGTAAATATTGTTAAAGGGATTAGTAACCCTATCGACGGTGAGTTGTTGGTATAAATAGTCTAAAGCTACCTTGAAGTATTAAATGAGGAAGTGCGCTGTCGAAAAGCACTTGAACCCGTCCGACATGAGAAGTCAAATCTCCAGGACCTTGGATGGCATGCGGTGGGCGACCAGCGGCTAACCACGTACTGCGCCCCCACTCCCCCCAGAGAATCAGAAATTTCATGGATACTTCTCCTGGAGATGTACGGGCGCCTACTTGCGTCCGAATCAAAACTAAGCTGTCTGCGCTCGACTTACCGAGAATCCAAAAAAATTATTAGTAATAATAATAGAAAAGTATTAAGTACCATCTATAAAACGTAGAAGAAAAGGATTCCTTAATCGGTGGTTTCAAAGTAAGTTTAATTTCCCTTAAATTTTGTAGGACAGTTGTGAAAGATCAAAAACGTCACAGAAGCTTCCTAATATAAGTTCTAGAGCCCAATTGTTAAATAAATAAAGTCACCAGAGCTTGTCAATAGTAGATGTAAGGTGCATAAACTGAAGTGACTGTGCGCAAAAAAGGTGCTGTGCTTGTGCAGCAGTTAAAAAGGACTCAAAACATTTAGCAATTTCTAATTAAAGTTTAATTGTATCGGTTTTATTAACGGTATTTGTACTTTAAGTTAAGCTTCCAGAGAACTCTACGACTTTTACTCACTTTACTTGCTAACTCATGGTCTATCTCGATTTAATGTAATCCCCAATTAAAGCTAGCAAAACTTGTTTTATACAAAAATGTTTTGCTAAAACGCCTCCTGCTGTGTTTGAGTATACTCCTAAAGGATTTGGCCGCTTAAATTATGCTACTAATCCGTGATTTACTGTGGAAAGAATGATTTACCATGAAAAATACTTATTTTCTTATTCGATGTACAACTTTTGGAGTACCATCTTTAATTTGCTAATTTCATCCTAGACAAGTGAACCAGAGCTAGAGGGGAGTTTTGTTTCAGGTGAGTGGCCTACATTTGTCACAATCAACGGACCGTCTGGCGCTAAAGCCGGTGGGAGGTCGGATAAGGGCAATGTAGGGAGAGATGATTCAGAAGATAACGTACTTACAATAATGTCTTCCGCGGGAAGAGTCCTACCGCCATCTACTTCGTTGTCAACTTGTAATATATTTGTATTAGAAGATTTAATTTTTGAGGGTAAATTCAAGTCAGGGGGCATTGATGTACAGGCCCGAGCATAAGTAAGTTTTTCATACCATGATGGTATTGTAGCAAAAGAGTAGCTTCTTGCAAGAGGTAAAAAACGGTTAGCATGGGGCACTTGGTTCTTATCGATAAACGAGGGAGATAAAAATGAGGAGATATGTAAAGGTGATGGATCCGTAAGCAATCCATTAGTTTTACCTGACATACCCGTTAAGACTTCAGAAGGGGAAACCTTCTTTAAAGTGCTAGTAATAGTTGACCGTAACGCTGAAACTAAAGACAATTGTTGCAGGCTTGTTTCTTTTTGTTGTATAAAGAAATCCCGATCAAAAAAAGCTTTTAAATAGTTGACAAAAAATGGCTGGGCTACAGAGGAAAAGGTCCTAAGCTTCTGTTTATTATCGCACTCCAGTAAAGGAAAACTCTTTTCTCGTACTTTGGGATAATACAAAGGGTCCATAGAAGAAATTTCTTCTTTTGACTCAGTTTTTAAGTTTCCTTGTGCTTGGACATTGCTGTTAGCGGATATAAAACTTGAAAAGTGTGGGTCATGTTGTGAAGTTGATTCGCTTAAGGTGCAAGATGGCACTTGTGGTTGGGGAGTCTGGTCCGAACCACATGGCATACTTAGCTTATATGTCGTAACTGCAGAGGATAATTTAGAAAAATCTTTTGATAAGGGATCAGTCACTTTCTCGATACAATAGGTTGAAGACACATCAGACTTCGTGTCCTCAAAATAAGGTTTTTTAGCTGTCTGCGGCAATAGTTTCGAAATATTTGGTAGGCCCTCTTTTGTAAGTTGCCACTGTGACTCACTGTGGGGAACTTGGTGGACATCTCGCTGCTGGTTTTGATTAAAAAAAGCAGAGGAAGGTGTTGGTAACGTAGACTGAAGGTGATACTCTGAAGGGGCTTGAACAGGTGACCTCAAAGGAGGTTGTAGTTGAGGGTAAGAGTATTGGGTATAACCTTGATCTAGAGAAGGAAGTATAGAGGACTGCGGTTGAAAGTTATTGGCATACATTGTATTAATTATAGAAGAATTTGGTGGTTTGAATGGCTGTTGTTGCCCCTGTGAAGTCCCAGTAAATAAAGGCAAAAGCGGTGGTATAGGAGGATTTGAGGTTTGAAATTCTTGCTCTTGGCTTTCTATCCTTAGCATGTGAGAAGGCGCCGATGCACACTCGTCCAACGGAGAAGTTATAAAGGATTCCCGCGAAGGAAGGACAGAGGGTTGTTGCTGACTTGAATGTGCGTCTTGCTGAGGCAACAAGGGAAAAGTTGGTGGCACTTGGGGCTGAGAGGAATCAAACGGCTGTTGTGAAGGAGTGGTAGATGAACGCACATGCTGCTTAAGAAGAAGCTGAGACGTTAATAGTTGAGAATTCTGTGGCACTTGAGAGGCTTCCCCGTGTATGGAAGTTAGAGGCATCGATGTTAGAGGCTCTCGACTCGTGCGATTGTGCTGTAGAGGTGATGGCTGCTGCGGGGGACACAGTAGCTGAGGCTGTAAAACGAGGTGAGATCGCGGGATCTCAGAGCTCGGCGCTAGAACTGGTCTGAGATTTGATGCTTGAGAGGCCGGCGGCGGCTGAGTTTGCGAGAGTGAAGGCTGATAATTCCACTGAGTTTGATAAGGAAGATTCATAGAAAATGGTGAAGTGGTTTGTTCGGGTTGGGAAGAATGTTGAACTTTCTGATGGGGGCTTTGAGGTGGCTGAGCAGAAACGCGTTGAACCTGAGAAACAGCTTGAGTCGGTGCTGTTGGTAAGTGAGAAGGATTTAACTGTTGCTGCGACTGCGAAAAATTATAAAGTTGTTGTGGCTTCGAGGTTATTTCCGCAGACGGCTGTGACAATTGAGAAGGGAGAGGCGTCGCAAATGGTGGAGGTTGAAGTATTAAATGGTTTAAAGTTGTCTGAGAATAGGGGGTCAAAGGAGTTTGGACTTGCGGAGAAGGCGAAGAAGCCTTGGAAGACTGCTCTAAATGAGTTGTTTCTAATTCTAAAGACGGTGTCAGCTGAGTGGATACTGCAAACTGAGTTTGTGCTTGCAACTGGTGAGAGGGAAGCAACAGTTGACTGGAAGTTTGCTGTTGACGAGGTAGTGGCTGAGCTGCTGCTTGCTGCGGTGGCTGAACTTGTAAGGTGGTATTAAAACAGACTTGCGCAGGCAAAGGAGATGGAATTGGCTGCTGCTGTGCTAAAGGGTGTGGGCGCGCAGCCGACTTTTGAACTTTGAGCTGTTTATCTAAATGTCCCTGTGGCAGTTGGGAGGCAGCTGACGTGGGCATTTGTTGTTGCGCAGTTGAGTGCAATGGCATTTGTGCTGGGGTTTGTTCCTGCTGAAATAGTACAGAACTTTGTGTCTGTAACGCTGGAGTGGAACCCTTTACGGGTGGCTGCTGAGCCTTCAGTTGTGGGGGTACGAGAGCTGGGTGGGGTTGTTGCAGGGTCGCTGCATTAGACTCTCTGGATGACTGCGGCTGAGAATGAGCAGGTTGTCTATGAGGGTGGGGGAAGGATTGCTGCGTTTGGGATTGGTGTAAAGGAGGTGGATGGGATAATAAATTTTGTGAGTGCTGAACAGGATCCGTAGCTCCCTGCATTGAAGAAAACAATTGAAGAGAAGATTCTTGAGACAGAGAGCAGGGTTGCTGATTAATGATATGAGGCTGTTGTCTTTGTGAACGAGAACCTTGCAGGATTTCTTGCTGCTTTTCTAGGTTAAACTGTACCTTAACTAGTGGTGCAGGAAGGGGTGATCCTTCAATATAATCTGGAGACTGAGGCTGTTCTTGTTCACTAGTTAAAAGAGAAATATCCGAATGTGATGGTTGCACGGGGGTTAGTCCTTGTTCTTGTGTCGCTTGCTCTTGTTTTTTTGGTAGTAATAAATCTATTTCAGGAAGAGAAGATTCTTCACAAGATCGATGAGGCGAAGACTGCTCAGGAGGTTGCTGTAGTGGCTTGTGATGAGGGTCGGTTTGATGCTTGCCTGGCTCCTGTGAAGCTTCCTTAAAGAAATGCTTATCATCTGCCTGAAGATCAGTAGGTTGGGCGGAAGAAAGCTGCTGCGTTAATTGAATACCTTCAGAAGCGTTATTAAACTGATTTGTAGAGAGAGACTGCAGAGACACCGATGTTTCGCTTTTACTTAAATGTGAGGGGTACGGCTCGCTTTGAAACTGTGCGTGCTGACTAGTGGCACCAAAGTCACCTACTTGCGTTGGTGGGGGAGGCTTGTAAAAGTATACAAGAGGTTGAGAGTCAGCAGACGGGTATAGGGGAGCTAAGTACGGAGCCTGTGGGCCGTAAATTGGTAAGGCCTGTATAATAACTTGACCATTCGGTAGATAAACGTATTGGTACTGCAAAGGCAACGTGACATGCGTATTATTGGGGAAATATAGAGCGGGGGGGGGGGGTTGACTGCTGCCTGTAGAAAGAAAATATGGTCTATTTGAATAATAGTGTGGGGGTTGCAAACGCCAAGGAGGTTCAACGGGCGCATTAAGAGAGTGTACGTCGCTAGAAACTCCGAGATTCTGGTTCACATCCTGCCCAAAGCCGTCAACTTGCTCGGCTCCCTGAAGTAAAGTTTGACCTCCAGAAGCTGTAAGGGAAGGAGCAGGCTGAGACAGTACATGAAGGGGTGACAAAGGATTGGGAGTATGAGACAACGGTGAGGACAGATATGTAATTGGGTTTTCCGTGACCGACGGTAGGTAATACTGTGCTAACGGAGGTGACTCCAGCAAGGAGGGCTCTATATACTCACCGGAGCCTGCTGCATTGTTCTGCGAAAATGAAGCTGTTGTCCTCTTATCTTGATTAGCGGACTCAAAATTGTCACTTCGGTGAATATTTTTTTGACCGGTTTCCTGAAGGGCCCCTAATTAAAGGCAGAATTATAATATCGCATATACTCTTGTCTTAAACCACATACCTGGATGAAAAACGGTATTCGATGCCAAGAAGAGAGAATTAGTCTCCTTATTTGACGAAGGCCACCGGCCTGTACACCCGAGAGGAACGTGTTCTATGCTCCTTTTACATAATATTTTATAAATTTTACTGACTCTACGTTGCAATCTTTTCACATCCCGACTTAACTCTAAAACTTGATTTTTGAGGTCAGCCTATTAATTTATAAAAGCAGTTTGGTTAAAATGCGCTGTTGGACCAGTTGCGACTTTCAAAAAATTACTATAGGGTCCACGGTGAGTGAGAAAGTGGGGGGGGACCTTTGGCGATCACAGAGAAGAAGTTCTAGAGACTCTTGTGAGTGAGTTATCATGTCTTTAAGTATCAATACTTCATGCATGAGCCCATTTATAGAATTTTTATTTGATAACGACTCTTTATATTGTGATCTACCTGTATATATCACCAAATTTTAACCATAAAAAAATGTATAAAATAATCAGTGAGCTGAATGCTATGTACCTTTCGTGCGGGTCAAGCTCATTTGAACTTTGCGACTACGCGGTAAAGAGCAGAAATTACAAGAGTTGAGTGCCTTAGAAAGACCTTTTTTCTCAGAAGAAAGACAATAGTTCCAAGAGAAACAAAGAGGACTTAGATAGTTTTTAAGTTTGGTAGGACTTTTAGGTTTAGAATAAAACTGCAAATTGTCCATATTCGTTGAATAAAGCATTTGGTAGTCCGCACTATTTGATCTTTTCATGTTTTTTTTTGGAATAAAAGGTTTTTTAAAAAGTTTTTTGCAGCTAAAAACTTTAGAAAAGGGTTGAGTCAAACTCAAATAAAACTTCTCGCGTGAGGAATATACATTCGGTTTAAAAATAACTATATCTGGTGATGATATTACCCTTTTATTCTTGGCAGAACCAATATTACCCTCCTTGAAGCTTATTTCAGGAAATAAGAGAGCAGCGTCAAAAGTGTTTTTTATTTTTCCTCTTGTTAGTATAAACTCGTTAACAAAGAAGCGACCTTGCTGATAGGATCTAAATAAAAGAGGTTTTAAAAAAGGTTTGTCTATTCCTCTACGAAAAAGATGACGGCAGCCTAAAGAGGGGGAAGAAGTTGGTAATGAAACACATCGGCTTTCCTGAAGGGTAAGGAATTGCGCTTCAAGTTTTGTAAACGGCCGAAGTTGCCCAGGCGAGAAAGATTTCGTTCTTTTCAGAGGCAGTGACACCGAGTTAATAAAAGTGGGCACTTTGTTGGGTAAGCTATAGGCTGGTGCGCAATCTTTAACAGCTGAAGCTATTTTTAACCTAACGAAAGGACTAAAAACCTTAGACCTTACGTGATTTTGCTTGCAAACAAAACAATCTTTGTTACTTAAGCAGTCAATATCAACGATATAACTATTATTTATGTTTTCATTATTATTTTTACTATTTTGGTAACTGCCAATAGTGATGTAATTATCAGTTAATTTCAAGTCACTATTATCGTCATCCATGACATTACTGTAAGGTTCAACACCAGCAATTGTTAAATTATTAGTCTTAAAAATTTGCGACCCCGATGAGGATTCATGTGAAACAGGAGTAACGTTAAAACGCGTTTCTTTAAACAAGCAACTTTTTTTCATTAGTTTAATCGACTTGGTAACTTTGAAAGATGAAGGGAAGCTATTAAGGTACGAATGCTGCCGAATTTGTGAAAAATTCTTATAATCCTGTAATTGAAATATAGTATTAGGGTAAACAAGGTGGGCATATGACATTAGCTATAGTCAACTGATTAAAATATAAATTAAATTTTATGAGTCCCAAAATTGTTGAGTTAGTAGCCAGCCATTGAAGACAAGTGAAAAGACATTAACAGAAAGAGCAGGCAATTGGCAAGAGTTAGCAATTAGAAGACCTCACGGAAACCAAATACCAATAAGCAAACCTCATTTATTGGTTTATTTGAAAATCGAGACTTTTATACTTAGACCCGTCAACTTGCAATAATGAAATTTATAAATATTATAAGATATAACGATTTTCAATAATAAAGACCGTTGAAACCTATGCTTAGATAAACGATCATGTGAATTCGGAGACGGGAAAAAGCTGACACCGATAGAGCATAAGGTAATAAATCTCCTCACAATACCTAAAAAGTGATACATTAACTTACATGCAGTCAAGTGTAATTTGCAGCAGTGGCAAGAGCACAGTGTATTGTTTTTACAATTTAAGTTAAGTTATTTATTTTTTTTTTTTCAATCATAAAATGTTTGTAGTGAGAAAGGAAAAGGAAAAGCGCGGTGTAGTTAAATATTCCGCAGTAGAAGAGATTTTAGAAGTTTTTTACGCCACCTCTTCTGACCCTGATTAATTAAAAGCCTTCAAAAATTTCAAGTTTTTTGGTAGGGTAGGTACCACAACCCAAAAGTTTTTTAATCAAAATTTTGTTAGAAATTACATGTGTAGGGATATACAAAAAACCAAGGATATTAATATACCCCTTAGATATTGCGTTCAATCGGCTTGGCCTTTAATCACCAAAAAAAGCAGTTATTTATCTCATAAATGCCTTCGTAGCTCTAAATAGCTTTAGGTATAGGACACTAATCTTTAATGCTTTGCTTGATGTTTAAACATGTTTACAATACAAATTAAGCCTTCTACAATTTTATATTAAAAAATTTGAAGCTTTGATGGGGATTTTAAACATCTTATCTATTAAAAGAAAAAGGATACCTTTGAAAAGGTTTAACAAACTTTAACTTAATATTTATTCTAGATTTTAACTTAAAATATGTACAAAATTAAAATGAATTAACTGTCGAAATTAACTGCAACTCCAAAAGAGGATATCCCAAAGATGGTGCGATTAACCCGTTGTAAAGGTACACGTTACACACTTATCCTATGATAAGTAAGTTGTTCAGGGCCCTTTTTGATCACTAAACTAGGGTAGCTCAGAGGTTCAAGGGTCGGGCCCTATCTCTTTCTCGGAGATCCTCTAGATCCAGATCCACCCTAGGATCCTCTTGGACTTGCTTGGCTCCGAAGCGAGCTCAGAGTTCCAGGAGTTTATTTCTCTTCTTGGGCCCTCTAGATCCTAGTAACTCCACTAACTTGTCTGCTTCTGGAAATCGAACTCGTGCCCTACAGAGCATTGGAGTCTTGTCGAAATTAACCGCAACTCCAGTCTCACAGTAGGGTGCAACTAATTCGCTATTCACATTCTACATTAACCTCTGTGTTGTTTTAAGCGAATGACAAGGTCTTTTAGAGGTCTTTTAGGTCTTAAAAACGTGTTAGATTCTTAAGATAAAGGAAACAATAGTTATTTGCGAACTGTGCAATTCTTTTGACTTGGTTTTTTTAAGTTGGACAAGGTGATTCTCTTATAACTTAATGAGTGGAAAGACAAAACAATAATTATGGAATAATGAAGAAAACTTTTTTTTACAAAGAAGAAAAGTTTATATATAAAGTGAGTAATAAATAAATTTTCACTTATGCTACTTAGCTTCTCTTTTTACAGTATAATTAGCATTCTGTCTATCCTCCCTTCTCTTTCAACTTTCACTGTAGCATTCATGGTTTTTTAGGACTAAATACCTTAATAAATGTTCTTAGAGCCTCCTTACGTGGACGCCCATCTTTGCATGGGGAAAGTTGTGTATTATGTATTAAAGACTTTGTAGTGCCTGTTGCAATAGAACTGTCCTCGATACAAGTACAACACCAAATGAGCTTTTGTTTCCACAGAAAAGGACAAAATAAAACATGTATTTTTGTGGTATGTAGCTGTTTTGTAAGGAAGAATAGATACGGTCCATAAAGGTTTTTCCTGACAAAAAGTCATCAGATGTAAAAACAATCAAAAACAAATAAAACATCGCTTTTATTAATAGGTGTTTAAGAAATATTTTTTCACTTTTATTATTATAAATTGAATGAGTTATATTTTTATAATTTTTGTTATATCCCTCACGTTAGTGTAAGATAATTTCTCTATTATTTAAGATTTCAAACGGGTTGCTCCTATAGAAGTCAGTTGACGTCAACTGTGTATAAAGAGGTCTTATTATAGGGCTTAATTTTAATACGGGTAGGAGGCGAAAACAAAGTTCGAATAACCTCTTTTACTTTATGGACGAGCAAGAGATACGTCTATTTTGCATGTTTACCTAAAGCACTTTTATATAAAAGTTACCATCTTAGAGAAAATATTTTTTTTACTTAAAGGCTGGTTGGCGGATCCAGCTTTATCCAATTAAAGTTATTGCGTTCTAGCTTTTAGGCGATCAATATAATAATCAATAACATAAGTATATAACGCTTTATTAAAAAGATCATATAATGGTGTCACAACAGTAAGTTTAAGAGTTAATTTTTATTACTATTAGACATCCCAACTCAAACCACGAGGTGTACTGCCTCACCTTCCTTGTCAGAAGTTATGTACCGGTCATCTAAGGTTACCGGCGCACGTTGTCGGAGAGATCCGAGTATCAGTCTTCCAATTTTAACTTATAATGAAATTAATGAAGTGGGTTGTGTGGATCGGTGTTTGAGTATACTTTATGGCGCTGTTAAACCTTTGCTACGTTTGGGCACATGTTATCACCTCGAGCACCTAAATTTTCGCCTACCCCCCCGGTGAAGCCTTAGTGTCCGGTGAAAAGCTCCTTCCAGTCTTAGATTCTGTACAGTGAAGAGCTTCTACGTCTTTCTGTTAATAATTTCGGTCTTTATTTTGAGCTTCTTGTCCTCTTAGTTTTGTTCGTAGTTTTTTAAGTTTTGTAACCTTAACATCGCGCCCATTTTAGGAATTATTTGGTCAGCGATATGTGTGTCCTTGGCATATATAAGATTCCTGTTAGTTTATGGGCTTTCTGCTAACATTGTTTACGCTTTAAAAGAGCTAGAAGTGCGCTTTGTGTCCCGCTACTATCGTACAAATGCTTGTAAGAGAAAAGCTTATAGTAACATTCAGTGGTTCTACTTGTATTATTTTCCAACCAACTGCACGGTATCCCTAATATGAGCATATGTAGGATGTCCGTCCGTGGATGGATTAAAAAGCAGCTGTCGTGGCTACTTGCTTGGTTGTTGTTTAGTAGCCCGCTCCGACTTAATGCTTCCGAAAACTTTAGCTAATACAATCAATTAAGACCTAATACAATAAAGTGCTTACGATATTTGGTTATAGATTTGGTTACCGTACTCACTTCTCTAACGATCAAAACCTTAGAGAGTTTAAGAGAGCCTTTAATATTAGGGTTATAAACAACTGCTTTTAAAAATTGTAAAAACATAGGTAAACATTTGTAGGTTGTATAGTAACTACTATCTGCGTAGGGATTTTGT